GTGGAACCGACCTCCATGTCCACGTGCGCATGCGGCGGCAGCAGCCTACAGCATCTGTCATAGCACTGTCTGGCGGCTCGCGCTGTGCGGCTGTGCCTAGAAGCATAGCCATGCCTAGCCACGCACCGCGGCACCAGCTTTCCAAAGTCTAGCTTGCCAGCGGCTACAGATGGAAGGAGAGGGCAACTTGATTCAACGTTTACGTCTGGCACCATGGCCTCTTGGCGCTGTGGCACGCATGCGCACGAATCTTATTTCTCTTGTTTCGCTTTTTCCACGCACGCAGAGTCGACTTCAACATCTGAAGCTTCGAGCGTTTCTGCCTCCAACATGGGTGATGTCGTCCTGCTGGTTCTGCATGGTTCTGCCGACTGTTCTGCGCCTACATCTCGCACCCCACCACATCACATCCAGGTCGCCGTGCTGAAGGTGAAAAGAGGCGTTGCCATACTCGGCTCCATGATGACACAGAGCGATGCCTCGGCAACCTGAGAGTGAGCGTGGAAGCAAGTAGCCACGACAAAAAAAAACATAGGCGAGACAAGTCATATATTGACGGCCCGATCCAAGTTTCAAATTGCAGCAAGCACAATGAACAAGACCACAAGGTGACCGAACCCTCAAGCTCTGCGTAAAGCTGGCTGGAAGCTGGCTAACGCCACAAGGGATGTAGAAAAAGCCAGCCCAGCCATCCCAAACTGAGCCTGTTAGCTCGTAGGTGTATGGCATACCAAGCAAATTGCTCGACTTCCTCCTCTTGCGCAGCCAGCTCTGGTCTTGCAACAGCTGATTCGCTGACGCTTCAGGGCATTGTGAGCGGCGTCGTTGGGCAAAACGCAGCGCGAGCAAGTGTCTCCTGCAGAGATTCGGAGAACGCTTTCCAACACGGAGCATTGAATCAGGGGGTTCGCCCTATATAGTACCCTACTAACCCCCAGTAAGTATCCTTCCCACCTCCGCAGCTTCAAGAGCTTGTTGAAGGCCGGCTGCGCCGATGTGCTGGCGCAAGCTGCCCGAAGCTTGGCAGCCTCCTGAACCTGCAGCGCATTGGCGCAGCGTCGGCAACGACATGCTGCAACTCATTTTGAGGTGGGCACTGTGAGGTTCGCAGCTACCAGGCCACGACACCTGGCAGAAACTGTACATACTGCGGGACTCACAGTTTGAAGCTCTCACAACTGAAGACTTGCAAGGCATACAAAGTTATATAATTAACCTTGAAAAACAAACTAACTGAAAGTATGCCAGAAAGACTCAGCGAAGAGCTCACTGAAATAGTCTGCCTGGCAGGATCCGGGCAGTCACTCCAGTGTTGACGCACGGCATGGGCCAGTTGACCAGTTGCACGATGCAGGAGCATGAAATGATGGTTTTCGAATGTGTTCGAAGAACCTGATGGCAGTGGCAGTTAGAATTTACGCCCTGCCGCTTGGGGAGGGGGGGGGCCCCTCCGAAGCCTTTCGGACCCTACCCACTCCCCATACCCTGCAACCATGCTGCACCGTCCTTGAGACCTTCATCGCCGTCATTGAGACCTTCGTTGGGTGGTCCCGGAGTAATGACCTGGATGGTTTGCTTAGAACATCAGTTCAAGCACAGCTCGAGACGTCGCTTAGGCCCCAACTACCTCCGACTCATCCCAACAACCTGGCCGCACGTCTCAAAACCTTTCATGTAGCACAACTCTGTTCCACAGCGTCGCCTGCCGCTTGACTGCAAGTCCCTCAGTGGGTTGAGCACAAGGCACTCATGGTCAGTGTTACTTTCGCCATCTGAACCATTGCATTCAGGCACTAAGCGCAGTTCAGTCAAACGCGAGGCCGCACCACATGGCGTTTTGTCAAGCCTACTCTGTTCACCTACACCGGTGTCAAGCCTGCCATGAACCGAAGAGCTTTCAATACGTTGGAGGAGTGCTTGAAGCGAGCCCCTCTCTAGAATCCTGAAGACATTGAATCTCTGAAGAATGAACAATGCTCTTGGCCATGTATCCGATCAGTCAAGTCGACGGCCGCGCAACCAGCTGAGCCTTTTTCGCTACGGCGTTCTTTGCAACTTCCACGATTTGCAAGGATGTGGTTCTGGAAGAATCTAGATATCCATTCACTGACTACACAGCCGGAACTTCGATGACATCATGTGTTGATTAGTTGTTCCAATCGCATGCCTCACTATAACCATTAGAATGAAACTCAGCAGCTCGATGTCTTTTTCATGCCGCGTCGCGCAGCAAAAAAGTCGTACGCCGCCCGGGAATCGGAAATTGATGGAGCGGCGATAATCAAATGAGCTGCACTTGCTATGTACAAGAGATTGAGGCATTGGGCCTCATTGAAGCTGTTAACGTCTACTGGCTGCGTGGATCGCGGATGCTGGCCTGCGCACCGCACACGGCCGTCCTGTTTATGCGAAGGCTAAAAACAGGGCTTCTACCTACGGGGTCCTACCGGGCTCAAAGCAGGACGCCCTTTTTCTCGAAGCCACAAAAGGGCTGCGGTGCGCAGTGGTAAAAGCGTAGGCTGTACACAAACTACAAAGGGGTAGCTTAGCTCAAGCCCTTGGGTGTTGGGATTAGGGTATCCTACAGGATAACTCGCACCCCCCTCCAATGCCAAGGGGTTGGCGGAGTTCCCCCGCTCGGGCGGGGCATACCGCTCAGCCATCCCGCGTGAAGCGATGCTGACGGCAGTGTAGGCAGATAGGGATCTGCCGGGCCCACCCGTGGATATCCCCGCAGGTTCGAAAGATGCGAGGAGTGTAATTCTCCCCCACTACGAAGAAGTTGGCACTATCCTCGTGCCTCGCTCCTATGATCATCCCACCCCAGCATGTGAGGCAGAGATTCTCAACGATGATGTCGCCCTGGGGAATCGAAGCAAGCCCCACACAGTTTCTGTAGAGGTGGACTGTGCGTCGTCCGGGCGCGTAGTACATCTCGCCGAAGTTGTGCTGCGGCACAGGTGGCAGGCGCGCTCCTGGTTGTAGGCGTCGCCGCCTCGCCCGTAACACCCCAACATTGAAGTTCTGCGGGGGTGCCGCTACCGGCGGTGGTGCGTGCTCCTCTTGGGCAGGCTCAGCTGCCTCAGCGGGAGCGCCCGCATCTCCGTCGTAGGGCTCCGGTTCGGGAGCTGGTGGTCGCAGGTCCTGTGGCGGCCTTACCCGCACCGGTGTGCGGAACAGGTTCTCCACCACTATGGGTGGTGCCGGTGGCTGGGCCACAGCTTCCTCCTCGGGCTCCTTTGTGCTCCGAGGGTTCGTCTTCTGGCTGCTGGGTTTCCTGCGGTCTCCATCTTTGCAGCGCTCGGCTGCAGCATCCCGTCGCCTGTCGGCACACAAACCACAGGAGAACCACCCAGGTTATCAGCCCCAACAGCATGGTGGCCTGAAGCGTCCATTGGATGAGTTCATCTTCCCTGGGCTGTGCCCTGACTCCAAGGATTTGCTGTGCCACTGTGGCACTGACGATTGCCAGGGACGGCTTGACCCTATCATCTCCCCTGTAATTGCCGTTAGTTTAGGGTTTAGGGTTCAGGGCTTAGGGTTCAGGGTTCAGGGTTTAGGGCTTAGGGTTAAGGGTTTAGAGTTCAGGGTTAAATGTTTAGGGTGTTAGTACAGGGGTCTGCACTATACATAATCACATGTGCATATGGCGCACGCCGATAAAGACTTCGCGCGACAATATACACCAAAACCCTGATCGTCCCAAACCGGCCCGTCATATGTCGCCCTGAAGTCTCACATCCCCATGTTAGAAAAGCTGATACACGTGCAAAACCCCGTGTTTGGGGGGTAACCTCTGTGCTATAGGTATGTGTGTGCACATCTGTGTGCGTATACACTCATACAGACACGCAGATATACACACAGGTAGTACAGACATAGAGAAATAGAGATATAGATATAAAGAGATGTAGAGATGTAGATATATTAGAGACATAGAGATATAGAGATATACAGCTATGTAGCTATGGGTATATAGGTATTTAGATATGTAGATACCTGGGCATGCAAATATGTAGACATGAAGCTATGTAGCTATAGCAGCTATAGCAGCTATAGGCTTTCAATAAAGAGGAATGCACACTCGTACATGCAGTGTACGCGTACATCGACATATACATGTATGTGTGATTTCTAGGCAAAATGCTGGCACTCAAGCCCTACAGGGTTTACGGGCCCAGGTCTTACAGAAATCCGAACTGAACCCGAAACCCTAAAGCCTAAACCTTATACCCCCAAACCCTAAACTCCTAAACCTTAAAACCCCCTAATCCCCAAACCCCTGAACCCCCAAACCGGGAAAGCGGGGCCCCGGCGCATTATTTCGCCCGAAGTGGCCCACATCGTGGGCCAGGGCGGCGATGTCGGTGGCTAAGTGCCTCAGGGTTTAGGGCTTAGGGTCTTCTTGAGCTTCAGGTAATGTAGGAGCCTTAATAGTTAGAATAGGGCTTTGGGGGTATGATATAATTTCAATATGATAAGGAACCCCCAAAATATCTAGGCCCCTACATTAGCGAGGCCTGTGGTGGCAATGGTTAAACTGGGGGAACGCAAAGGTTTAATAGGGGCTTGGGGGTTCGTGAAGACCTCGCAATGAGAAGTTAAGTGGGGTTTGGTAAACCCTAAACCCTAAACTCAAGTTTGCACGCTAGTTTTGTAAGGATCACAAGGGGATTGTTATGCTGGGGCCCCTACCTAAACCCTAAACCCTAAACCCTAAACCCGGGTGCCGGGGAGGGCCTTGAAGCAGAGGTGCTAAGCGAGTTTCTGGCTCGGGGGAGGAGGGCCCAGGAGGGATTTAGGTTCAGGCTTCACGGCCAGGGACATTTTTAGGGTTCAGGGTTTAGGGTTTCGGGTCTGGGGTTTAGGGTTTCGGGTCTGGGGTTTAGGGTTTAGGGTCTAGGGTTTAAAGTTTGGGGTTTAGGGTCTAGCGTCTAGGGTTTAGGGTTTAGGGTTTCGGCTGTGTTAGTCAATTTGATTGAGGCATTGTGGGCAGTTCAGATGTAGTCAGTATATGTATATGTATATATGTATATGTATGTATGTATGTATGTATGTATGTATGTATGTATGTATGTATGTATGTATGTATGTATGTGTATATATATATATATATATTCAACCCTGGACGACCAGATACAAACCCCGAAGCCGTCTGGCAAAACAGGTCAATTGAAGTCGTATGATAAAGGAAAGCCTAGGTAGAGCAGACTCCGCGTCGTCTTCAATAGCTCCTGCGCCATCTACTACTTCCAGCACCGAACGCTTCTGGATGTTGACCCACAGGCCAAGAGGTCTGAGGGTGCGAAACATCAATAGCTGATCATACGCCGTACTAAGCGAAAGCCAACCTGGGCTTCCCAGAGGGTCTGGATCTCAGCCATCTCCTAAACCCTAAACCCTAAACCCCCAAACCCTAAACCCTAAACCCTCATCATGAGGCCCTGCCAGAAAATTGTTACTTGAGGAGAGGCGCTGCGACAATAAACTCTCCAGCCTCACTGGATTCGACCCGGAGCTGCGACTCCAAAGGAAAACTGCCTCCACCCCGTCCAGCTCCTGTCGCCTTGCCTGTAGCCGCTGGCTCAAAGACAGCGTCTGCTCTTGCAGCTGCCAGTCGAGGCCGAGCATACTTCTGCGAAATAGAGGAGATGAGGGAAGGCTCCAGTCGACCCAGATTTCTTCCCATCTCTTAATTAAGGGCCCTAAACCCTAAACCCTAAACCCTAAACCCTAAACCCTAAAGTCCCAGGAACCAGTTAAGGGTGTGGACGAACAGCGTAGCGCTGAACGCTGTCCCGTGTCGTAAGCCCTGTTTGGAGACTTCACGGCACTAGAAATCCCAATCCAAGTGCACCTACGGTGCCATTACAACCGAAGGGACTTATCATGAGGGTCTAAGTGCAGCTACAAGTACATTATAAGTCCCCTGTACCTCTAAGTCAAGCGTTGACAACGAGTGACCACGTGGTGAGGACTTGAATTGACAGGACTACTGTAGACCCCAGCTGAACGGAGCCCCATCTCTGTGAATATGAAGATCCTTACTCTGATCCCTGTGACGGGAAAACGCACATTGCACTGCACCTTCAATCCGACATGCGGAGAAGGGTTTAGGGCGCAGACCCTATAAACCCTAAATTCCGAAGCGCGAAACCTTATACCGTAACCCTAAACTTAGGCGCTGAACCCTTAACCCCTTCACCTAAACCCTAAACCCTAAACCTTTCACAAGCTCATCCCTGAACTGCGCCTTAGACTTTAAACCCTAAACCCTAAACCCTAAACCCTAAACCCTAAACCCTAAACCCAAAACCAACTCTGGCTTCCTGTCGAACCCAAAGGTGAGGCTTTCGGCTTTAGTTCAGGATTCCAGGGTGGCTTCAGGAGTCTAGAGCATGGCGACTCAGGGCTTTAGGGTATGTGGGCTTCAGGGTTTAGGGTTTAGGGTTTAGGGTTTAGGGTTTAGGGTTTAGGGTTTAGGGTTTAGTTTAGGCTTCAGGGTTTGGGGTTTAGAGTTTTTTGGGTTTCAGGGCAGGGTTGAGGGGGATTCGGGCTTAAGACTTCGAGATCTGAGTGTGGGAGCTTTTGGGGCATGGAGGCGCAAGACGGGGCCCTGCAAGCTTGCGCCGACAGGAGCCCCTTTAAGACCCACAAACCCCGAACCCCGCAAATCCCCCAACTCTCAAAACCCTGTAGGGTTTAGGGTTTAGGGTGCAGGGTTTAGGGTTCAGGGTTCAGGGTTCAGGGTTTAGGGTTTAGGGTTGAGGGTCTTACACCCTGAACCCGACGATCGATCCAGCCGAGAGCATGGCATATCTCTGCCTATGGCAGAGGAAGATTTACCTGGGAGAAAGGCGCATTTGCGATTGGGGTTTGCGGTTCAGGATTCCGGGTGGGGGGCTCAAGGTTCCGGGTGAACCCTAAGACCCTGAACCCTAAACCTGAACCCTGAACCCTAAACCCTAAACAATAAACCCTAAACCCTGAACCCTGAACCCTAAACCCTAAACCCTGAACCCTGAACCTTAAAAGTTTAGGGTTCGGGATCTAAGGCGTTGGCATGGGCTATTTTGCAGCAAAATCTTGGGGGGGCTGCGTCTGGGTTTGCAGTAAGCCCCAGAAATTTTAGGAATTCGGGCTTAGGGGGTTTAAGGGGTTGAGGGTTTAGGGTTTAGGGGGTTTAGTGTTTAACGTTTCGGGTTTTGGGTTTAGGGTTTAGGGAAACCGGATCGAGGACAAATAGTGCTGGGATTCCTTATACATATAGACTCTTAAGGATTGAGGCTAGTGGGTTTCCAAAAGTTCTACTGTGGGGAACCCTGGTGCGTTTTGGGAGTGCCAGTGTCTCCAGCAACTAAACCCTCAAATGACAAAGGCCTACAACCCCCAGAAGCAGTAATACTAAGACCCTAACACTTAATGCTAGAGCCCCAGAAGAGCACATCCACAATCGTACAGTACGGTGAAGGGTTTTGAAGTGTTGGGCTTCAGCGTCTAGAGTGGTGGCCAATGAAGACAGATACTCGAACCTACTCTACAACGAGAATAAAAGAACCCTAAACCCTAAACCCTTTAGGTTTCAGGTCTATAGGGTTCAGAACTCTCATCCGGCCAGGCTTTGCGGTAGCACCTTTAAGGGTTTAGGGTTTAGGGTTTAGGGAGCCCAAACCAAATACCCAGAGAAAAAGAACCGCCCAGTGCCCGGAGCCAAAACTCCATACTACAGAAAGTTAGGGCACATCTGAACCGAGGCACCCTCGAAGCTTTGCAAGGCTCAGCCTATGCCAAGCGCTCGCTCTTGGCAGCCCGGCTCGGGATTGCTGAAACGTGGAGCCTTCGACTCGATGGTTTAGGGTTTAGGGTTTAGGGTTTAGGGTTTAGGGTTTAGGGTTTTGGGTTTTGGGTTTAGGGTTTAGGGTTTAGGGTTTAGGCATGCCTGAGGCACTCTGCCTCTTGGCACTCTGCATTGATTCATGCCTTTGCCTGACAATCAGGATTGACAGAGTTCAGAGGCACTCTGCCTTGCTGACTGCCATGAGCAGTGACCTGCGCAGCGTTGCTTCTCCAAGCAACAACTCTGCTGAAACAGTGTATCGCAAGATAGTCGGGCTTGAACGCGTCCCAGTCCCACGTGCTGACCTCATCGTCATCGTTGACCATGTCGGCCCAGCGGGCGGTGTAATGCCGCAGGGATGGGCTTTGCCGGACCCTTGGCCGGTTTGTCTCTGGTCCAAACAAGAGGCCTCAAACCCGAAAGCCAATAGCCTGAAAGACTCCAAACTACCCTGAACCCGAAACCGTACCAGCTTTAGCACAAGGCCCCCCAAACTTACGTACAACGAAGAAACCCCAAAAACCTGCAAGGGGGCGATCGCTCCACAATCGTGGAAACCTACGACTTAGAGAATTCTTCAAGGACCTCATGGCCTCTTAGAATGATCTACCCTAAACCTAATCCAAATGTGTATATATATATATATATGTATAGTCATAGGGGTTCTGGTGGCTGTAATTCTGTTCAGGGAGGGGGGGGGGGTTCTATTAATCAGGGTCCCCCTTACTTGGTCGAATCAGCGTAGCATACAAGGAGCCTGAAGAGAAGAGAAAGGGATCCAAGAACCATGCTCCGAAGTTGACCCTACACCCTAAACCCTCAACCGTCTCTACATCCCCACCATGGCCCCAAACGCCGAGCCGCGATTTCCGTCAAATCCTGCGAGAACTTCAGCCCGCCCCGACAGTCGGCCCTAATTCACATGCCCACTTTCCTTAACATTGCTACTATTAGATATGATATGAGTGATTAGTGATTATTTTTGTTTATCTTTATTATTCGTAGTAGAAATAAGGTTTGAAAGGGGTTTGGGGTTTGGGATTTAGGCTCAGGGGTTTAAGGGTGAAGAGTTAAGGTAAGGGGTGCAAGGGGCATCTTAATAATAAGAAAAGGGGTGCGGGTTTTGGGCTTAGGACTTCCTTCAATTACACGTTCCAAACCCACACCAATGAAGCAGCAAACACGCGTCCAAACCCTGCGCCTGCCATAAACCCTAACCCCTAAACCCTAAATCCTGAACCCTAAACCCTGAACCCTAAACCCTGAACCCTAAACCCTAAACCCTGAACCCTAAACCCTGAATCAACGAACCTACTCCGCTGCACAGTTCCGGGGCCGCAGCTCCTTTCACAAAGCCAGTGCCTCGGGCGGAGTGTTGGGACTTCTTATAAATGGGCGATGATTTGGGGAAAACCCCTAAATCCCTAAAGCCCCTAAACCCTAAACCCTGAACCCTAAACCCTAAACCCTAAACCCTGAACCTTAGACCCGAAACCCTAAACGCTAAACCCTAAACCCTAAACTTATCAAGGATTTGGGGTTTCGGAGTTCAAAGTTCAGGAGCCACGGAATGTTAAGTAACAGTGTTGTCTGGGCTTGTAGAGACCTTACAGAGGGTTCCGTGAAGTAGGGCTGGTTTAGGGTTTAGGGTTTAGGGTGTTTCGAATTGCTACATATCAAGCTCAATTGAAAGCACTAAGAACTTTCCAAAAGGCGCCCTCTACACGGACCCAAAGCCAAATATCAACCCTAGCAAACACCCTATTTGGGGTGCTCCTCTAGGGATATCAAGGCTTAAAAGGGTAGTCACGTCTGGCCTTATCTTGCCCTCATGGGGCCGTTGAAATTGCAGAAGAGCACTGACCAAGGCCTAAACCCTAGTTCGGACCCCTAAACCCTATAAATTTAGAGCTATGTGCGCCGGTATAGTGGTTTGATTTGCAACGGCGATATGCGGCTCGGCAAAAAGGCTGAAATTAGTTTAAGTAAAGTGGTTGGTTTCGCCCATGGGATGGTTTCAGTGTATTGCTTTGGGGGAGGGCTCTCGGCTTGCGTGGGGAAGGTTTCCGGGGCTGCGGGGGAAGGTTCGGGCTTTCGTGTGGGCGGGTTTTGGGCTTTCGTGGGACAGGTTTCGAGGAGGTTTCGGGCTTTCGTGGGGAAGGTTTTGGCTGTCGTTGGGAGGGTAAGGTTTTTGGCTTTCGTGGGACAAGGGGACGCGGTTCCCTATCTCACCGCCCCGCTAGAAGATCCAAAGAAGGACAAAAGGGACGCCGTGACTTTGGTTTTTCGAGCTTACGACAAAGCCCCCTAATTGACAAGATCATCGGGGCGCCTATGCCGGCGAACCCTAACCCCCTAAACCCCTAAACCCAAAATCCGTAAACCCCAAACCCGTATATTAACCCCAACCCTCTAAACCCTTAATAAACCCTATACCCTCAATGAACCCTAAACCCTTAAAGCCTAAACCCTAAACCCAAAACCCCTAAACCCTAAACCTTTAAACCCTACACCCTTAATAACCCCTAAACCCCTCAATAAACCCTAAACCCTCACGACAATGCACGGGGAGTCAAGGGGCTTTGTTTCGGGCTTCGAGCTTAAGGTTCTAGTTTATTTTAAAGGCTTTAGGGCTTAGGGTTCTAGGGTGTAGGGCTTTGGGGTTTAGTTGAGGAGTTGAGGGTTGCGGATGTTGTTCAAAACCCCAGGCTAGCGGTCAGGGGATTTCGATCGGTTTTTGGGGCTTGAGACTTGGCTCCCTAGCCCAAAGCCCCGAAATCCGAGAACCCTAAAACGCTGAAATTCGGGTGTATTTCTGCACATTCGCCGGGCTTCTCCCGGCTAGAGGGTCTTCTCAATGGTTGACTGTGTGTTTGTTAGGGCGTGGCTGTCATGTGGCGACAGTGGAAGGGGCCTCCAGATGTCAGAGGCTTCGTCGTGGTGCGGCAGGTCTTTCACCAGATGGGACACAAGATCCCCCCCTCCTTTTTTTAAGAAAGTTCAAGAGTACGACGGGCAGCGAAAACGAGACGGAGACATAGAGACAGAGAGAGAGAGAGGAGAATAGAAACAAAGGTACATAAATCGGAAGGAGGAAACATGAGGCTGGGTTAGCGACAAAGCGAGAGAGAGACTGATAATAACATCGTTCGCACGAGCTTGCTCACCGTGTTGACCTGCTCTATCAACGAAGAGGCCACGGGAAAGCAAATGTGCGATTCGCTATAGATTCGGGACTTCAGGAAGCTGCATGCAACAAAAGTGCCTCGTAATGCAAGCAAATGCGTCCATGCATGTGTGCACGTGACATGTCGTGAAGTGTCACGCATGCATGCAAATACCAAGACACTCAAACACGAAACCCGGCGAGGGAAAGGCGGAAGAAGTGACGTAGATGCCTGAATTACCAGCAACTCTGTTCCTCAGGGCTCCTTCTTACACTTACACTGCAACTTATCCACCGAAACCAAAAACCAACTCATTAATACCCTAAACCCTAAACCCTAAACAATCCATCGACGTCCTTAAACCCCTCCGGGAGCCCTTAAGGCTTAATGTTTTTGGGTTTAGGGTTTAGGGTTTAAGAAAATCTCGGCTACCGGCGTAGAGTGGCAAACCACAGCGGCGTGCGCTTCGTTGTGGAATGGGTTCTGGTGCTCCTCGCGCAACGAGCCTAGGCCCTTCATCTTGGGCTCAATGTATGGGCCTTGACATTGAGAATAGGGTTTTGCGGTAGGCTATAGTATAAACTATATAAGGACGATCAAGGCATAGTATCATCACTGATGACTCAAACCAGTGGGGTTTTAGGGGCCTGAAGAAGTACCACTGCTATTCTGCAAAGATAGCTTTTATATGGCTAGGCTGTAATATACACCTAAGCCCGATCCCAATAATTGTTGCGGGCCCCTGTATTGCACCACCTTACTGCAAAACCCTCAATGTCTAAGTCGGATGACCCCGATGCAACCCAAAGTAAAACTCGGTGCAAAGCCCTTCGGAAACGCAGCCACAAAACCCATAAAACCCGGATTTCAACCATGAAGTCCCCTGTGCAGGGCCCCAAACTGAAAGGCCGCGGAAGCAACGTCACACGTTGAGGTCCTTAACCCTAAACCCTAAACCCCAAACCCTAAACCCTAAACCCTAAACCCTAAAATGGAGTGTTTCGGACTTTATACTTATAGACGGGCCTGGAAAAGATGGAACACCAGTTTGCAGGGTTGCCTTCAAGCTTTCTCAAGACCTGTGGCTCCATAACGGCCTGCAGAACAGGCGTTTATAAGGTTTCTCGGTTTCTAGTCGCGGTTTACAGCGGTTCTGGCATGTATTATTCGGAGTTGACGCCCATAATAGTTGGGATTTAAGTTGGAATCGAGCTTTATGGGCTTATCATAGGTGCGCTTGGCGCCCAAAAACGGGACTACACGGGAAGACTCGTGCTACTAACGGCTCAGACCCCCAACACTACTGCCGAGCGGCGCCTGAGTCCCACAGTTCAGGATTTTGGGCACATTGGCAAATGGTTCAGAATGGGCTTTTTTTGTCAGTGCCATGCGCG